TTCTCAAACTTTTTGGTTGCAGACACTTTACACTCTTAAAAATTGAGGATTCCAAAGAGCTTTTGATTATACTTTGTTCTTTTAATACTTATATTACAAATTAAAACTAAGTTTTTAAAACAAATACATCAGCACGCATTCCACTAGCTGTGAGAGCAATGATAACGCATTTCATGAAGCCTCTGGAAAAGTCCACTGTATACCTACCTGTGAGAGAATGACAGGGAAAAGGACTAATGACATCTTAGTAGTATAGTATTATGAAAATTGTTTTGACCTCATGGACTTCTCAGATTTGGTCCCTAGATCACACTTTGAGAATCATATTAGAGTTAGTGTGTAACTTCTTCTCAGGGCATTATGTGCACTGTTTTTTAGTACTGTGGGAGAAAGCAATGCTCAAGAAATCAATTGCTAATTGTAGTCCTGAAAGCTTGGGGCTTTTTGGGGGGTGGGGATGCAGTAGGAGCTGCACACCAAGTGGAACACTGCCTTGGGCTTCCTGAAGTGGCAGCCCTAAGGTGGGGGTGGAACTAGTCACATACTCAGGAGGCCAGGGTGGAGCCTCTCCGAGAGGGAAAAGGAACTGTGCCACAGCCAGGAAAGAAGAGTTTATGGGGAAGTTCGAGTGTGATAGGAGGACAAGAATAGGCTGGCTGTTCTTGTCAAACTGGAGGCAAGGGAAATGGAAGACTGGTTTATAGACCACCTACTGTTTCCTTTCCTCTTTAATGGAGTCTGGGGCTGGGAAGGATTGCAGAGTTGGCACTATGACATCTTGAGACCCTGACATTAGTGAGGGAGTTGTTACCATGCACGTATCCTGTATGCATTTCTGTCCCTATGTCTCTCAATGCTGTATGTTTTGCAGAGTTGGCACTATGACATCTTGAGACCCTGACATTAGTGAGGGAGTTGTTACCATGCACGTATCCTGTATGCATTTGAGAGAGAGATTTTCCTGTGTGTGTTTTAGTTTGGAGTAAGCCTTTTGTGTAGGTCTTCATGTGATCGGTCCAGATGGTGATTTACAGGGGTAAAATGACCCCTGGTGGCCAAACCAGAGAACTGACCCAAATTCCTCAGCGATAGGTTGAAGTTGAAGTCCAGCTTTCTACCATCTGGCTGGAGGTTAGAGCCTTGGGCCAGGCCCTTGCCTCCTGCTGCTCTAGAAGAGGCCTGATGGTTAGCACCTGCTGCATCCTGCTTCATCCTTAGGGTTCACGACCTGTGCCCTTCCACTCCTGGGAGTACTAAACATCGTCCTAGTTTAAAGTCTCAGCACTTTGCCCTATCCAAACTGAGCTGAACACAATTTTAAAAAATTACTTGAGTATTTTCATATGCATGAATTCCAACGTAATTAAAATTCACATAGCAAGTATCTCCTACATACTATATAATTTACTTATTTATTGTAATTTTTATAGTTTATTGTCTGTCTTCCCCCGCCCCTCCCCCTCCCCCAGGTAGAATATAAGCTCCCTGGGGGCAGGGATTTTTGTTTGGTTGGTTCTCTGATGTATCCACAACATCTAGAATGGCACTTGGCACAAAAGAAGCGCTCAATAAATATTTGTTGAATGATGAACAGTTGGATCTTGCTGTGCAGTGGTTTACTCTCTAGTGGGGACCGGTGAACAAGTTAATAATTACCATTCAAGACAAGATGCAAGAATGCAGGGTAAGGTGTTGGCCATTAATTGAGCAGACAACGGGAAGCTCCTGAAAGTTTTTGAGTGAGGTTTTGCTCACCCTGACATACTGTCAGTGGATGAACTGCAGGAAATCAGGTGGGGAGAGTCTATGGGGGGAAAAAGACTGGTCAGGGATCTATTAAAATAGTCCAGAAGAAGAGTGACCGTGGCCTGTGGAGGTGGATGGAAATGGTTTGCCTCCAGTGTGAAAGCTCTGGTGGACTGTTTCCCCACATTCAGTATATCCCCAGGATTTCCACCTTGAGAATAGAGATTAGATTTAAGGAGATGTAGCAGGCAGAGGAGGAATGAACAGAACCTGACAAGTAATTGACTGGGGAAGTTTAAGAAAACCTGTAGCTACTGCTATTTTCATAGGATTCCCCAATTGCTGAGTGGGTAGTAAGATGGATGAAAAATGTGGGGAATCCGGAGCCCCCCAACCCGTGTCCTGGAGTTATCCCAGTTGAGGTTTAGGAAAATCCAAAGGAGGAAAATGAGAACATCATAGGTGGAGGGAGAGGAGCATTAACATGTTTTTAAAATAACTCTGTACACCAGGATCTCAATTTAATGCTTAACATGCATTATCTTATTTATCACAATAACCCTTTGAGTTAGAGATGATTATTATCTCCATGTTACACATGAAACACGCTGGAGAAGCTGCGGTCTTAAGGTCACACAACCATGAAGTAGCACAGTAACTGTTTGGCTCCCAAACTCCTGCTATTTGCAGTACATCCTACTGTATGTCCCCTTCCATGTACTTCCCATCGTCTCATCCCATCTTCCCCATCCCAGTTTTCCTTTCTACTCCTTCCCTCCTCATGTGTGTCAGCTCCCTCAACGGCCCCTCTCACCTTGGATCTGCTGTACCATCTCTGCCCCTTTTTCCAGTTCTTCCTCTGTGCTCTAACCCACTCCCTCTGCACCACACCTGTCCCTTCCCTCTCCACTTTGCCTCAGGCCCTTGTGCAGAACACGGTATTGCTGTGGCACACGCAGGCAGGATGGCTCAGCCTTTGTGCAGTTGGCCAAGACCCCTTCCCCCCACGGGGATATACCCGACATCTCCAAGCAGCACTATTGATTGTCCACCAACTAAACTGAAGAGGAGACCTCCCCTAGGTTCTCCTCAAAGTCTGTCTCCTCGGTAGGATGGTCAAAGGATCCTCACAGGTCCTGTGGAAGAAATGGGGAAGAGAGGTTAATCTCACACTGCGCCTTCCTTCTCCATTCTTTCAGGAGACCCCGGAGACAAGGGAGGCTAGGTAACTGTCAGCGTGCTACCCTTTCCAGAGGAGCACTGAAAGCACTAAGAAGTTCCTCGCATGGGTCTTGGGGGATCCCAAAGGCTCTCTGAACTTTGGAATCAGACAAACCTGGGCACTCGTTTCATCTCTGATGCTTCTTGAAAATGTGACTTTAGCAAGTTAACCTCTCTGAGCCTCTGTTTTCTCCTCTGTGAAATGGGGATCATAATATCTACTTATTGGATTGTTGTGAGGGTCAATGAGCTCACCTTTGAAAGGTACCTGAGAATCATTTCTTAAAGGGAGCTTTCTTTCCCGTAAGAGTATGGGGAGGAGGTACAGTTGGTAAACTCTGTTTGTGATACCCAAGGGGAGGGTTTCTGGAATACAGCAAGGGCCTCAGGTGAATCCTCATCCAGACTGAGCTCTGCCAGCAATCAGAACTAGGGCCAGGGGATGGGTGAGCAAGGAAGGCTGGGTGAGTTTCCATAGTGCTAGGTCAACTCAACAGTTTTCAGGGGCAGTGACTGGCCTGTTGCCCTCTGGGGGCACTCTCTTCCCACTGGACTTGAAGTCCACCCACAGATAGAGGAGTGGGTGGAAAGCACGTGAAAGGAAGAGGAGAAGGGCCATGGGATGAAGAACCAAGCAAAGGCGAAGGGCAAGAGAGGAGGCTGGAGGGGAAGTCAGGGCCCAGGCAGGCACAGGGTGGGGCCAGGAGAGGGGCCCAGGGCAGGAGGGCGGGAGAGAGCCTGGGAGGGAGAGCGCCGTGGAGGGCGGAGGGAGGGGACAGGGAGGGAGACCGGCGGCGCTGACACAGCCTCGATGTGTGGAACGGGCTGGGGTTTGGCCCACAGGTCAGGCGTCTGGTAGTATTATGGGATGGAGAGGCCTTAGGAGACAGGGAGAGTATTATGGGCTGGAACAGCCTTAGGAGACTAGGGAATATTATGGGCTGGTGAGGCCCGGCTCCAACTGGAGGCGGGAGGAAGGGGTGCGGGGCGGGAAGGGGGGGGGTTAGTGGTGGAAGGGAATATTATGGGCTGGAGGCCTCCTGCGACCAGAGGCAAGAGTATTATGGGCTGGCAAGGCCTTCGGTGGCCAGAGGGGGGAGCAGCGGGGGATGGCACCGGCTGCATGTGACTGAGGGGGGGCCAAGTTGGGGGGGTGGCGAGTGGGGGTGGGGGAGCATATTATGGGATAGCTCTTTGTACCTACTGCGGGGACGGCGTCTCCAGAAGATATTATGGGATGTCGTGTGTGGGAGGGGGAGTAGGGCTAGGGGGATTATTATGGGATGGTGGTGCAGAATGGGGAGGGCCGGAGAAGCTCTTTTGCAACCCCCCACCCCTTACTCTCTTGTCATCCTCTTTAAGGTCTGCCTTCTTTTTCAAACGGTCCAAGGGGAACACCTGACATCCACCCCCCCACCCCACAACACACACACTTTGGCCACCTCAACCCATCCTAGGCGTATCCCCTAACTCTAGCAGCCACCTCAAGGACGCTGAAGGGGAAAGGCAGCCCCTAAGGATGGGGAGAAAGACCCAAAGCAGGGTTGTGGTAGCTGGTGGACCACACCTCCCACCTGCGCAGAGTCCCTATTCCGTTGGGCCACTCTCCTTCCCCTTCTCCCTCCCTTCCCCAAAGTGGGGGGCTTGGGTCCTTCTCCCCTCCCCCTCCCCTCTATTTCCTCTCCAGCTCCCTCCACAGCCATAACCAGTAAAACAGGCGGCCAGCTATTATGGGATGGCTGCTCCCGGCAGCTCTGCAGGGAGGGGGCGGTCACCGCGGAATGTCTCTTGTGGGTGGCTATTATGGGATGGCCGCCTCTTTTTTTGGGGGGGGATAGCAAGGAGAAGGATTATTATGGGATGTGCCCTGAACAGCTGGGTGGGGCTGTCCTGGGTAGGTGAAGCTCTGGGGAAGGAGGGAGGGAGGATAGGAAGGAAGAAGGAGGGAAGGAGCTGGAGAGGGTGGGCGAGCCCTGGAGCCAGACCTGAGGCCTGGCAAGAGTAACTGGCTGGAGAGGTTCTTCAGGGATAGGTGTTTGAAGCGGCCCCTGGGGCAGACTAGAGCTAGCCAACTCTGAACCCTGGACACCTGGGTCCTTGTTGCTTATAGCTTGTGAGCTGCAGGGTTGCTGAGTCCAGGACTTGCAGTGCTGGGCTGGCAGTGAGAACGCCTGTGTGGCACACCAAAGGGAGCAAGCAGTGCTCCCCTCCCTCTTTACCTTCTTGGATTTGATGCTTGGGACCATAGATCAGGTGTGGGGGTTGGGCCAGGGGAGCTTTGCTGCCTTGCAGTCACAACCAAGGAATAGAGGCTGAGTTGGCTCCTGAAGAACAAAAGCTTGACTCATCACCCCCCAAGTCCTGCACTACCTGCATCCTGTCTAGCCATCAGAGTGCACTGTCGCTGTGGCTTTTCTTTCCTATGTTGTCTTCACCAAACCCCCTTTTCCAACAAAGCAGGATAACACTGGTCCTTTAGACCTCTTACAAGCAGAGTTTCTAGGGCTCACACAGAACAGAGATGTAGAGAGAAGAATTACAGAACGTGTGCTGAAAACTCCAAGGACAACCACTCTGAATATCATTCTAGGTTCTTCTGCACCGTGAGATAGAAACAGAAGTCGAAGGTAACTGGCTAGAGAGGCTGTCCCCCGGGGTGCATTAATCAGGAGATTATCCCACCCTTAGTCTCTGTGGACCAATCATGCTAGTGGTTTATTTATAATTTATCTGGGAGGATAGCATGGGGCCAGGGTAGGGAGGGGGAGCATAGATACATAAAGACCACAAAAGCAACACACAAACACACACATCTTAGCCCTCTCTGAAACTCTTGAAGGGAGGAAGGAACTTTAACCTTCTCCTTGTGGTATTAGGGAGAGGTAGGTGGGGAGTACGAGAGGCAAGGGGGTAGTAAGTAGGTAGAACCTGCAGGGATGAGGCGGAGGGCTGTGGTGTACAACAGGTACCAGTGTTTGCCATCACAGGCAAGAGGCTGTGACTACCCAGTTATAAAACTCTTCCTAGTTTATATTACGAATCACTGTGGTCATGTGGTAAAATATATGAAAAAAGGAGCCGATAGATATATTACAGAAGGGAATATGAGGCCCAGAGGCAGGCTGGATCCCCGAGAGAAATGGGGAGAGTGGAGGACAGAATAGGTGTCTGGCGGCTCTAAATAGGGGAATCTTCTAGAAAGGAGGTATGACCTCATTATGGTATCTTAAAAGAGCTGCTTTCTCTCCTCCAGATGAAGAGCAAAAGGCTCATTCTTGGTATTCAGAATAATCATGGGAAAGAGTTTGCACAAATAAGTGGGGCCCAATCTTGAAGTCCAGAGAATTTAATGAGGAAGATGTTGGCAGCTTTGCAAAATGGGAGAAACAGCCTGCACACCACAATGGATGTGGCAAAAGGGTGGACCAGGGAGTTAAGTTTGGCAGGAGCTGGTGGGAAGACTTATCAGTGTCACTGGTGCTCTGTTTGAAAGCAAAGGGATACTGAGTTCCTGAAGCAAGCTTTGCCTCTCCTGAACTCATTTCTCCTTGCCAGTTCTCCAGTCCTGTGGTTCCCAAAGGAGGGGAGAATCATCTGGTCAGGCCCTTTCTCTAGGGAAGTGAGATCAGAAGGGCAATGTAGAGATGAGGTTCGTCCCACTCACTTCTGGTCAGGAAGGGCCCCTCCTAGGAGGAAGTTCCGGTTTCTCTTCAACCTGTCCCACCGCCACAGGTCTTGGACTTGTGTGAAAAAGGCACATGAGAGCAGAGGAAGACATTAGCTCTGGCTTGGGGGCCAGGGGGCAGCAAGGCAGTGGTGCTGGGACATTAGTTTTCACTCAGGTCCTGGTTCTCTGGCAGTCAGGGAAAGGGAAAAGTGACAGGCCTATGGGCTCAGGTTGTCTGAGAGCCGAAGAGTTTTAAGATTGGATTCCCCAGCTTTCTCAGGCTTGGTCCCAAGGTGGCTACAGGGTAGGCATGGTTAGGGAAGAGAATGGATATTTTGGGAGGCTACCTTGTGGCATAATTGAATGAAGAAGGCATCCTGGAATGTTGACTTATACACAGGGAGGGGAAGATGGTAAATATTATACAACAATATATTTTGGGGGGTAGGGGTGGGGAATGGGGCCTCAATGAGATGAGGATGGGAGCAGTTGGAAGTTTATTTGACTTCAAGACACAAAATGAGAAACTGGCTGAAACATATGGGACATTGAGGGTAAGCAGAATTTGGTGTTTAAGAATGAGGATAACAATTCTGGCATGCTGATGAGTCTCTCAAGAAGGAAGCACATGATGATATAGAATTTCAGTATTAGAAATGCTCGATGCATGAACATTGCTTTCCAATCAAAATCCCTTAGTATGTAGGGAACAGCTAGATTATCTTGACCATCCATCCGTTTTGGAATACCTTCTAGCTTCTATTGTAGAAGGACCACCAAGAACCTCTACTGGAGTGTGATCTTTCCTGAGACCAGTTGGGATTTGTTTCATTCTCTGTAACAGGAAATTGGGAACTAGCACTCAGTTCTTCTCCCTTGACACCAGACATTCTCTCTGGCCTCATAGTTTGATTTATGCTTCTTGGAAGGAGGAACTTATGGTCCTTACATTCCGCATGGTGCCCAGGTCTGTGCCTTGCTAGGTATTCTGTCAACATCTGTTGAATGAATGTAAGTAGCAGTGAGTAGAAGGAGAGCAGGTCTTGGCTGTTGGTATATGTATAGCAGGGTCCTCAGTTCACATCATCATGGGATGTTCATCCATGGGAGTGGCCTAGGGGTGTTAATGAATGGAGCACCTAACCCAGGAGGTGGGATGGGTGGGGAAAGGACTGCTGGAATTTTGAGAAATAGTCTTTAGATGAGAGTTTGTATTTATTATGGGATGCTCAGGGGTGAATTAAACTTTATGTAAATAGCTCATCTGGCCAGCATGGTATTTGGTTGGTCTTACTCAAAACTTAAGAGCTGGAGGTAAGTGTCTGGAGATTCCTGGATTTTGGTGGGCTTTAGTAGAGCCCTAGGTTGACTCTCAGTTCTTGAGCATCTGGAAAGGTAGGGTCTCTCATAGACATCAAGAGGCTTTATGCCAGGATACTGCTTTGGTCCAGAAAGGAATGAAGGCTTGTACAAGTTGAGGCCAGGACAGGGCATTGTGGGTAGCCTGCTTTCACCCTGGCTGCTCTAAGTGTTAGAATACACTGACAGCATCTGGAGATGGGGGTGGTATGAGTATTATGGGATGCCTGGCTAGAAAGGTATAGAGGTAGTGAAGTGGAGATGAAGCATTATGGGATGCGATGCTGGGTTGTGCTGGGAGTATAATGGTAAGTTTGGTTGACTGTGGGCTCCTTGAAGTTATTATGGGATGTCAGGGTATGGGTGGGAGAGTAAAAATTATGGGATACCTTTCCAGTATTAGAGAAAATGAGATTAGATGTCCATCTGTAGGGTGACAGAACTGCTGATCATCATGGGATATCTCTTTGATAGGGAGGAGTGGTTATTATGGGCTGTGGAGCTGTAATGAGTGTGTGAAGGCTGAGGGTGGTGGTGTGAGGATCTAGACCCTAGCCTGCAGGAGTTGAGGGCAGCTCCAGGGGTTGATTATTATGGGATGTCAGTATAGAAAGTAGGAGACTGATTATTACGGGATGTGTGTGGGAGGAGGCCGAAGTGTCCGTTGTTGCAGTGTGTGGGGGGGTGAGTTTCTGACTATTATGGGATATCAAACTGGGGGTGGATGAAGAGTGGTTATTATGGGATGTCTGTGGGGGATGGGAATGAGTATTATGGGATGTGATGCTAAGTGCTGGGTGGGGTGCTTATTATGGGATGGCCATGGGGAGGGAGAGGTGACGAATTATTATGGGATGTTAGCATTAGGGCCAAGAGTAAAGAAGTTGGCAAAGGGTGGCTATTATGGGATGTGGGGGGGAAGGGTTAGTTACAGAAGGTCTATAATATAAGATGTCAACAGCTCTGGCATATATGTGTATGGAGAGTGTGTGTGTGTGTGTGTGTGTGTGTGTGTGTGTGTGTGTTTTATGGGATGGCCAGGAGGTGGGTGGTTGCCCGGGTGACGCGCGCGCGCGCTCGAAGGGGCGTGGCCAATGGTTGCCTGAGCGACGAGGGGGCGGGGGTTGCCCGGGAGACCTAGGGAGGAGGGTGGCGGTAGTGGAGGGGGGTTGGAGTTGGTTGAGGTTATTATGGGCTGTCCGTGGGGGGCGGGGCCTGTGCGGTGGGATTTCCCGGCCGGTGTTTCGGGCCCTTTAAGAGGCGACGCCGGAGCCGGAGCCATTTTCCCCCCTTCGGCCGCGGCGAGGAGGAGCCGGAGCGGGAGTGACACCGGGCCGGACCCAGCGCGACCTGCGGCGGCTCCGGGGTGAGGAGAGCGCGGGGTTCCCAAAGAGACGCCCCTCTCAGCCCGGCCAGCCCCGAGGGTCATCCTTCCACCCGCCCGTTCCTTAGGCGTCCTCGGCCCCGCGGACCGCCCCCTGCCCGGAGGAGCCGACCCTTCTCTCTTCCCTGCAGGGTGCCTAGTCCTCTTTCCCCCACCGCAACCCGGCCAGAGTCTGGCTCCCTGCGACTCCCATCTCGGGCTTGGTCTCCCACAATGCCCGGCGCCCGCCCCCACGCCCTCTGCTCACTTGCCCCCCGGGACACGTGGCCCGACCCCCTGCCGGGTGGGCGCCCTGTGGCCCCCAAGTTCCTGCCTGCAGCCCCCGAAGCGCCCGAGCCTCCACGCCCCCTCGTCCCTGCGGCTTCTTGGGAGAACCTGAGTTGTCCCAGAGGACAGCCTTTGGAGAGCTGCCCTGCCTGGGCACTGGCCCCTCCCCAGGCGCAGGGAGGCGCCCCCCCACCCCCAAGTGACCTTGTGTCCCCGAGCGCCTCGCCGCCGGCCGCCTCCCCCGGCCCCCCCGCGCTACGGCCACTCGGACCCTCCTCCCCCCAGTCACACCCCACTTGGTCCAGCCGGGCTTCCCCCCTCCCCACGCCTGCACCAGCCTGCACTCGGGGGCGTCGCTGCCTCTCATCTGGGGGGCTCCGGTGGGGTGGGGTAACCGGCTTCCGGGCTGCCCCCGAGGAGCGTAGAACTAAGTTCAGCCTGAGTGGCTCGGGTGCCCCACTAGGGTGGCTGAGGTGGTGG